CCCTTGTTAGTTGTGTGTGATGTATTGAAGCTGTCAGGCGTGTGATGTCTGGCGTTAGTGTGCGTCTGTAAATCTCGTCTGCACATGTACGTCTGCGGGATAAAGAGACGGAGCAAACGGTTTATTACAACCTCCATAAAACACGTCCTGTGGATGAATAATAGCAGTATGCATGAAAGCGCTTTGGCCAGAGTTTTCTTTTTACATTTTATACTAAATTTGAACGTTTGTGTGAGATTTCTGTCAACAGGGGCGATCAATCTGTTCACTAGTACTAGTGCTCCTATTTAACGATGTACTGAAACCTCTATAGCGCTATCAGTGCTAAAGTTGAGTGTATAATGAATGATTCCTCACATCGTGTGTTGCTGAGGAGAGTTTGCTGCTACTTTACTAAGTGATCAGATGCAACATTTTCACCTGTTCACACAGAACACCTTAGCAACACTATAGCCAAAGAGAACACCCTAGCAACAGCCTAGCCACACAGAACACCCCAGGAACACTCTAGCGACCACACAGAACACCTTAGCAACACCCTAGCAACTACACAGAACACCTTAGCAACACCCTATCAACTACACAGAACACCTTAGCAACACCATAGCCAAAGAGAACACCCTAGCAACAGCCTAGCCACACAGAACACCCCAGGAACACTCTAGCGACCACACAGAACACCTTGGCAATACCTTAGCAACCACACAAAACACCCTAGCAACACCCTAGCCACACAGAACTCCTCAGCAACACTCTAGCAACCACACAGAACACCTTAGCAACCACATAGAACACCCTAGCAACAACCTAGCCACACAGAACACCCCAGCAACACTCTAGCGGCCACACAGAACATGTTAGCAACCACACAAAACACCCTAGCAACACTCTTGCCACACAGAAAACCAGAGCAAAACTGTAGCGACCACACAGAACACCTTAGGAATACCTTAGGAACCACACAGAACACACTGGCAACACAGAACACCCCAGCAAAACTCTAGAGACCATACAGAACGCCTTAGCAACACCCTTCCAACTACAAAGAATACCTTAGCAACACCCTAGCCACACAGAACACCAAAGCAATATCCTTGCCACACAGCACACCCTAGCAACACTCTAGCAACCACACAGAACACCGTATTAACACCCTAGTAACACCCTAGCAACCACACACACAAAACACCCCAGTAACACAGAACATCCAAGAAACACTCTTGCAACTACATAGAACACACTAGCAACCACACAGAAAACCTTGGTAACACCCAAGCAAAAACACAAGACACCCTAGCAATCACACAGAACACCCCAGCAACACTCTAGAGATCACACAACACACCTTAGCAACACCCTAGAAACCACACAGAACACTCTAGCAACACAGAAATCCCCAGCAACACTCTAGCGACCACACAGAACAACTTAGCAACACCCTAGCAACCACACAGAACACTCTAGCAACACTCTAGCAACCACACAGAACACCTTAGCAACAACATAGAACACTCTAGCAACACAGAAAACCCCAGCAACACTCTAGCGACCACACAACACGCCTTAGCAATGCCCTAGCAACCACTCAACACACCTTAGCAACACCCTAGCAACCACACAGAACTCTGTAGCAATACAGAAAACCCCGGCAAGACTCTAGCGACCACACAGAACACCTTAGCAACACCCTAGCAATCACACAGAACACCCTTGCTTTATTTATCATATTATTTTAGTTTCACGTCCAGACCTACTTGAGTCTTATAAAGTCTGTAGCAGCGCAAATGATGCGGGTGGAGTCAGAGGTGATCTGTGATCCTGTCTGAAGAGGATTTAGCCTGTCCTAGAGGTCAGGGCTTGAGGTCTTACGGGGGACACTTTCCTCTGGACGCGAGTCTGAGGTCATCTTTCTCTGGGAAGCATTAAGCCCTCATCTATCCCGTTAGAGTGTCTGATTATACCACGTGAGAGGCGGGTTTAGACCCGGTCCGATACAGGAATAGAGCTGTAGGTGGAGTCCAGCGTGTGATTATGGGTAATCCCTTCTTAAATAACCCTGAGCAGTCAGCTAATGTCCTGTAGGACGTCTGAGAAAAGAGAACGAGGACAATACTGTTGGACACACACATACACACGCACACACACACACACACATCAGAGAGCATCAGCTTGAGGATGAATTTCGCAGCACAGTTTTTGGCAAACTTTGCGAACGACGGCTCGCAGCCACAAGAGACACGGAGAGGCTTTAATGACAGCGAGGAGTATGATCCCTTCTGGCAGAGGTGGGAAACCGTATGTAAATCTGAAACCCGTAGAGTGTGTCCGACACCTAATGCTTCCCAGTGTCCCATTGAATCTGAGAGATGTGAGGAATCGGATGTGGATAAATCTAGAAACCATGTAGCGACTCCCGTTCCTTTATCCAGTGATTCACATTCACCTCCCCGTAAAACTCCCGAACGTCGACCCGCTTCCGAAGCTCCCGGCTCTTCTCCTGTAGATCCAGCAGAAACACCCTCGTCCGCAGACTTCCCTCTATTCCCACATCTCGGAGAAAACCCCACTTTCCTATCGCTCTTCCAGGCATTAGTGTACATCTTCCTCAGACTCTTCCTCTCCTTCATCCTCCTCTTCCTACCACGGTAAACACCTGAATATGATCAAAAATGCTCTATAGACTACATGAGGCATACAAATCTGATACTCAACAAAAACACACATGCAAACTTTTCTGCTTCATTAAACTGCTCCAATTTAAACAATGAGATATTATTTCATATGTGAAATGTCAGCATTTTTTAGACTGTGCCTATTACTGCATGACAGTAGCCCCGTAAAGCCTGACATATTAAATAATATCTCATTGTTTGAATTGGAACAGTTTATTGAACCCCAAAAAAGTTTGCATGTGTGTTTTTGTTGAGTATCAGATTTGATAAATCAGACTTTTATGCCTCATATAGTGAAAATATGGAGAAAAAACTGCTCAGTTTTATTCATAGACTCAAACTGAGCAAAAATATGTTGCAGATGCTGATGTTTATATGGAAGCTTGAAAGATCTTTATAACAGTATATCAGACTACTTACATAAAATGCATATAAATATCAATATCTGCCAATAATATGCCTTAGTAAGATGATAGTTAAATGCTTAGTTTTATGATCTGTAGTTTTAAAACATTATACAATGCAATACAATGATGATTGACAGATGAACAAATAAACCGTCCTCAAAAGCCTGATGATCATATTTGATACTCATGATTTTTATAATAAATAATGTCTGGATAATCAAGTAAACCTGCATTAGTCCGGCTGAAATATTACTAACAATATCAAAGTTATTACGTTTACTTGATGAAAATCAGATTTGACAGCAGAAAGACACGTGAAGCTCGAGCTGAAGGAGGACGTTTGTACAGTTATACTAAAATACTTTTACTTGATAAAAGAGTGAAAACGATCAATCAGAGACAGAAGGACTGCAGGAGATTGAGGGGAAATATCATGTTGATCATTTAGAGGTGTTCTAGATGTGGGCTTTATAGGGTTAATCAGAGAGGTTTGGTCAGAGACTGTATTAGACACTGTGACGTAGGAATGAGGTGAAAGCTCAGCCGATATTAATAGCCTTCAGAAGCGGACACATGACCAGAGACACTGAAACTCTGACCACTAATGCCAGATTTACTCCGCAGAAGTGGAACAGAGGCGCTTCTGTTCGGTGTGGTCTTTATACAGACTGATCATACGTGCATTACACAGCAAGTCTAACCTTCATACTAGGGCTGAGGAGTGGCAGACCTTAATCTGGCTTCATGCAGTATTGTGTCTTTACACTGATCTGTGATCAGGCACAGAGAAGTGTTAATCAGGTGTGTGTGAAGGCATTTTACACCTCTGAATTAAGGCTCTTCTGTGCCGGCTCAAACTTATTAGCAACATTTATTTATGCAATTTTGATTGCATTCATGCACCTCTGAGCAGCATTCAACAGTTTGTGTAGATTCACCTTCAGATGCAGATTCTGCGGTGCTAATGTGTCTCCAGTGCTGTTGTCATCAAAGCATTCAGTTCATTTATTACGCTGGATTATACATATAATATCAAGAATATATAGTAATCCACTAGCGCTTGCACTGTGTTCTGCTTCACGCTGTTTTCTAAATGCTTACAAATCTTGTTACTTTGAGCGGAGAGTGACCTCGTCCACATCATCAGAAGCGGGACAATAGAATAAATAAAAAATAAGTGATTTTGGAAAATACAATTTGTCCATAATTAAAGTCAAAGGTCATCAGAACTGAGGACTATACCGTGCAAATTGTAAAAACCCAATTGTTCTTTGTTTGTTCACGGTGCATTAAATAATGTTACATACAACTTTTGATTTTAAAAATGTATTAGCAAATGTTTAGAAGAATTTTTAAAGTATTTTTTCATGTTAACCAATATAGTTAACTAATGTTAAGAAATGAAACCTTATTGTAAAGTGTTACTAATATATTTGATAATATGATAATAATGTCAAGAAACCAGAAATTAAAATAGCAAAAAACTAGAGGGAAGCATATCATATGTTTAATATATTATATTTAATTTAATTTGAAAAAACTGCATGATAAAGTGTGAATTTTTGTAATGTAATTTCTGGTTTCTTGGCATATATTATTATAATACTAATATTTTAAATAAACATTATATTTAATGTTTCATATATATATATATATCAAATATATTTACATTGTGTTGAGTTATTTGTCCTGGACATTAGGAGAAAAGTGCTGAGGAAGGTGACGTGTGGTTGATTAACCCCGTGTGTTCCTCCATCAGCGCAGAGCAGCGGCTCGGTTCCTCCAGGCCCGACAGCGGCCCGTGTGCTAAAGACGCTCGCCTCGCTAACGGCCGCGCGAGCCGCCGCTCAACCCTCATCTGCCCAGAGCGCCTGAAAGACTTCGGAGCCGAGGAATACCTCAACGGAGACGTGAAGGTGTTCGAGACCAGCGTCTCAGAGCCACCCGAGGTCCAGTTGATGTCGACACCGAAACCGCCCGCTAAGAAAAGCGTGGAGGGGAAATCGGCTCCTAAAGCAGTTCCGGAGCATCTGCGCTTCGAGGACGTCAGCGCCGCAGCATTCAGACTCCAGCAGTCCGGGATCCAGAAAACACCCTGCAGCGTACGGCAGTCTCCACACACACACACACACCCACAAACACCGCCAGAACACCATCAACAATCACACGGCTAAAAATCATCCTCTTCCTCAGTGTTCTTAAACCAAGATACATTTACTGGAGAAGCAAGAGGACTGCAGATATGAAGATATGAAGTCTTGTTTAGTGAGAAACAGTGAGTTTGTGCTTAAAACAAGAACAAATATCTCCCAATGATAGGTTTAGAAACCTAAAAATAATCTTGTTTTCCCTTTGAATGAAGTTTATTTTTCTGACTCCATTGGCAGATATTTGTTCTTGTTTTAAGCACAAACTCACTAAAGTTTGATAAATTTTTTCAGTAATTCTGCTTCTTCTCCAGTAAATGTGTCTTGATTTGAGAATGTTTAGATGTTTGTGCTGGAGAACGAGACAGAAACACTGAGGAAGAAGTGTAAGAAGACTCAAACATCTGCGTCTGATCAAACTGGAGAGCAGCAGATGCAGATTTCGAGTTTGCAGGAATGAACACGTACAGTCGTGACCCTGCTGTGTGTGTAGACACGATTCCTCTGCCTCAGACAGTTCGGTTTTATGGCCTCTTAAAAATGAGAGGCATTCGCTAGAATTACAAACAACACTCTAAAATAGGCAAGAGCTCGTCAAAGTCCGATCCAGGCCATAAACGTGTGTGTTCTTCCCTCAGTACTCCAGACTGTCCAAACAGTACGGGATGGAGATCTACCTGAAGAAAGAGCTTCTCCATTACACTGGGTCCGTGAAGGAGAGAGGAGTGCTGTGCCTGCTGTCCTCGCTCAAACAGGTCTCGAGATTACCTTTAACATCGGATATAATACCCAGACAGCAACAGTGTCGGCCCACATCCGGTGTGTGTTCAATCCACATGTTCCAGGTGTGGGCCGGGTCTGGGCCGACACTATGGGCCGTATTTTAAGGATGTAAGCGCATGGTCTAAAGTCCACTTATGGCAAGTCCGAATCCACTTTTGCTAGTTGACCGACGGGAAAAATGGTCGGCGCTCCCGGCGCTGGTCTAAAAGGGTCGTCGCTATTCTCTTAATGAGTAATGGGTGTGATTTGGGCATAACGTGCAATAAACCAATCAGAGTCTCATCTCTTATTCCCTTTAAAAGCCAGTTGCGCTCGCCTCATGGCGGATTCGCTATTTACACGGCGGAATTTGATAGCGGAAAAACTGAACGCTTCTCTAGCGAGGAAACGGATTTGCTCGTGCACGAGGTTAAAGCTGTGTGTGTGTGTGTGAGGTTAAAGTGCAAGCAGACCATCTGCGGGACAAGCAGGATTACACCATATCCTTATTTTAATTCTTTTATTAATAATATTTGGCATGTTTGTGTGCTGCTGCGTGTCTGCGTGTGCACGGCTCATAGAGCTCATATTACAAACACATTCTTTAAATAACAAAAAAAATACTGCGCCATTGACTTGTTTTTTTTTAGTGTGTGTGAATATTTCAGCGCCAACAATGCGCCTGAACACACACTTCGTTCTCAGACCAGCAGCCCATGGGCCACAAACACATGTGGCGCAGGACGTAAAAATGAAAACTGCGTCGGGCTGAAACTAGCGAAACACACTCGCGTCGCGGCTGCCGTATGATAGGGCACTATGTTGCTGTCTGGGTGTTTCATTTTTGTACTATCATCAGATGAAATGTCATATGTTGCGGTACGGTACCGTGTGCAGGACCAGCAGAGGAAGGGTGTGATCGTGGCCACGGACTGTAACTTCTCCATGGCAGTGGCGCATCACGCAGCGGAGCTGAGGATTCCCGTGCTCGTCATCATGCCGGCGTACAGTTCTCCTCCACGCCTGCGCATGTACCGAGACTACGGCGCCATGGTCATCTCGTACGGCAGCACGGCTCGAGACTCCAGCAACCACGCCAGACACCTGGCCAAGGAGAACGGATACCTGTGTCTAGAGGAGTGAGTCTGACGTAAAAACCCTTTCCAGACAGCAACATAGTGTCGGCCCAGATCCGGTACGCGTTGAATCCACATGTTCCAGATGTGAGCCGGATCTGGACCGACACTATGTTGCTGTCTGGGTTCATTTAGTGTTCCAGGTCAAAAAATGCTTGTAAATCTCTCATTTTGCTATATTATCAGCAAATATTGGATTCAATCTTTTTGTCAACTTAGCACAGGTTTTGTATTTCTTTTTGGATCTGATTGATCTGAGCTCATTCGCCTCAGTTTATTTGAGCTTGAGCTCAGATCATCGAGGCTTACGATCAATCAGATCCAAAAAGAAACACAAAACCTGTGGTTACAGAATGAAAACAAGAAGATTGAATCCAATATTTGGTAATAAGAAAGTATTACAAGAGATTATGACCCAGACAGCAACGTAGTGTCGGTCCAGACAGCAACACTATGTTGCTGTCTGGGTGTGATCTCACAATATAACACGTGACGCAAATTAAACTCTGCTGATTTCTGCTGTTATAGTGTGTCCAGACTTTTGACCGGTCATTTCACTCACCTTTATTGAAGAACGAACAAACAAAGTCATATTTTACAGTTCTTATCTATCCTGTCTGTGGCCTCGTCTGAGGTTTTTAGGATTAACCCTTCAGAGAGTAGATATGAACTACATGATAAATGATAGACACAGACACAAAGATCCTCTTGAGTGAGTCAAAGGTCTGGACACCCAGAGAGAAACATAGTTTTGGCCCAGATCCGGCCCACATACGATACGCGCTGAATCCACGTTCCAGATCTGGGCCGCACACTATGTTGCTGTCTGGGATAGTAAAGTGTCCATCAGGTATGACGTGTGTATCAGCACAGGTGTGACGTGTGTATCAGCACAGGTGTGACGTGTGTATCAGCACAGGTGTGACGTGTGTATCAGCACAGGTGTGACGTGTGTATCAGCACAGGTGTGGCGTGTGTATCAGCACAGGTGTGAGGTGTGTATCAGCACAGGTGTGGTGTGTGTATCAGCACAGGTGTGGTGTGTGTATCAGCACAGGTGTGACGTGTGTATCAGCACAGGTGTGGTGTGTGTATCAGCACAGGTGTGACGTGTGTATCAGCACAGGTGTGGCGTGTGTATCAGCACAGGTGTGATGTGTGTATCAGCACAGGTGTGACGTGTGTATCAGCACAGGTGTGGTGTGTGTATCAGCACAGGTGTGGTGTGTGTATCAGCACAGGTGTGGCGTGTGTATCACCACAGGTGTGACGTGTGTATCAGCACAGGTGTGGCGTGTGTATCAGCACAGGTGTGGCGTGTGTATCAGCACAGGTGTGGCGTGTGTATCACCACAGGTGTGACGTGTGTATCAGCACAGGTGTGACGTGTGTATCAGCACAGGTGTGGCGTGTGTATCAGCACAGGTGTGGCGTGTGTATCAGCACAGGTGTGACGTGTGTATCAGCACAGGTGTGACGTGTGTATCAGCACAGGTGTGACGTGTGTATCAGCACAGGTGTGACGTGTGTATCAGCACAGGTGTGGCGTGTGTATCAGCACAGGTGTGATGTGTGTATCAGCACAGGTGTGACGTGTGTATCAGCACAGGTGTGGCGTGTGTATCAGCACAGGTGTGACGTGTGTATCACCACAGGTGTGGTGTGTGTATCAGCACAGGTGTGGCGTGTGTATCAGCACAGGTGTGGTGTGTGTATCACCACAGGTGTGACGTGTGTATCAGCACAGGTGTGGCGTGTGTATCAGCACAGGTGTGGCGTGTGTATCACCACAGGTGTGACGTGTGTATCAGCACAGGTGTGGCGTGTGTATCAGCACAGGTGTGACGTGTGTATATGCACAGGTGTGGTGTGTGTATCAGCACAGGTGTGGCGTGTGTATCACCACAGGTGTGACGTGTGTATCAGCACAGGTGTGACGTGTGTATCAGCACAGGTGTGGCGTGTGTATCAGCACAGGTGTGACGTGTGTATCAGCACAGGTGTGACGTGTGTATCAGCACAGGTGTGACGTGTGTATCAGCACAGGTGTGGCGTGTGTATCAGCACAGGTGTGACGTGTGTATCAGCACAGGTGTGACGTGTGTATCACCACAGGTGTGGTGTGTGTATCACCACAGGTGTGACGTGTGTATCAGCACAGGTGTGGCGTGTGTATCAGCACAGGTGTGACGTGTGTATCAGCACAGGTGTGACGTGTGTATCAGCACAGGTGTGACGTGTGTATCAGCACAGGTGTGGTGTGTGTATCAGCACAGGTGTGAGGTGTGTATCAGCACAGGTGTGACGTGTGTATCAGCACAGGTGTGACGTGTGTATCAGCACAGGTGTGGCGTGTGTATCAGCACAGGTGTGATGTGTGTATCAGCACAGGTGTAACGTGTGTATCAGCACAGGTGTGACGTGTGTATCAGCACAGGTGTGACGGGTGTATCAGCACAGGTGTGGTGTGTGTATCAGCACAGGTGTGAGGTGTGTATCAGCACAGGTGTGACGTGTGTATCAGCACAGGTGTGACGTGTGTATCAGCACAGGTGTGGCGTGTGTATCAGCACAGGTGTGATGTGTGTATCAGCACAGGTGTGACGTGTGTATCAGCACAGGTGTGGTGTGTGTATCAGCACAGGTGTGACGGGTGTATCAGCACAGGTGTGGTGTGTGTATCAGCACAGGTGTGACGTGTGTATCAGCACAGGTGTGACGCGTGTATCAGCACAGGTGTGGTGTGTGTATCAGCACAGGTGTGACGTGTGTATCAGCACAGGTGTGATGTGTGTATCAGCACAGGTGTGGTGTGTGTATCAGCACAGGTGTGATGTGTGTATCAGCACAGGTGTGATGTGTGTATCAGCACAGGTGTGATGTGTGTATCCCCACAGGTGTGATGTGTCTATCACCACAGGTGTGATGTGTGTATCAGCACAGGTGTGGTGTGTGTATCAGCACAGGTGTGATGTGTGTATCAGCACAGGTGTGACGTGTGTATCAGCACAGGTGTGATGTGTGTATCAGCACAGGTTTGATGTGTGTATCAGCACAGGTGTGGTGTGTGTATCAGCACAGGTGTGACGTGTGTATATGCACAGGTGTGGTGTGTATCAGCACAGGTGTGGAGTGTGTATCAGCACAGGTGTGGTGTGTGTATCAGCACAGGTGTGACGTGTGTATATGCACAGGTGTGGCGTGTGTATCAGCACAGGTGTGGCGTGTGTATCAGCACAGGTGTGGTGTGTGTATCAGCACAGGTGTGGTGTGTGTATCAGCACAGGTGTGGTGTGTGTATCAGCACAGGTGTGACGTGTGTATCAGCACAGGTGTGGCGTGTGTATCAGCACAGGTGTGGCGTGTGTATCAGCACAGGTGTGATGTGTGTATCAGCACAGGTTTGATGTGTGTATCAGCACAGGTGTGGTGTGTGTATCAGCACAGGTGTGACATGTGTATATGCACAGGTGTGGTGTGTGTATCAGCACAGGTGTGACGTGTGTATATGCACAGGTGTGGCGTGTTTATCAGCACAGGTGTGGCGTGTGTATCAGCACAGGTGTGGCGTGTGTATCAGCACAGATATGACGTGTGTATCAGCACAGGTGTGGCGTGTGTATCAGCACAGGTGTGGCGTGTGTATCAGCACAGGTGTGGCGTGTGTATCAGCACAGGTGTGGCGTGTGTATCAGCACAGGTGTGGTGTGTGTATCAGCACAGATATGACGTGTGTATCAGCACAGGTGTGACGTGTGTATCAGCACAGGTGTGACATGTGTATATGCACAGGTGTGGCGTGTGTATCAGCACAGGTGTGGCGTGTGTATCAGCACAGATATGACGTGTGTATCAGCACAGGTGTGACATGTGTATATGCACAGGTGTGGTGTGTGTATCAGCACAGGTGTGGCGTGTGTATCAGCACAGGTGTGGTGTGTGTATCAGCACAGGTGTGGTGTGTGTATCAGCACAGGTGTGGCGTGTGTATCAGCACAGGTGTGGTGTGTGTATCAGCACAGGTGTGGTGTGTGTATCAGCACAGGTGTGGTGTGTGTATCAGCACAGGTGTGGCGTGTGTATCAGCACAGGTGTGGCGTGTGTATCAGCACAGGTGTGATCATCTCACCCACAGGGACGAGAGCGCGGTGTATCTGGCAGGTCTGGGCACCGTGGGTCTTGAGATCTACGAGCAGATGCCCGCGCTGGACGCCGTGATCGTGCCCACCGGTGGAAGCTGTGCCCTCCTGGCCGGAGCCGCACTCGCCATCAAACACCTGAACCCTCGCATCGCTGTCATCGTGAGTCTCATCTGACGAAAACACTGCCTTCAGCTCCAGTTTCACTGCACTGGGTTAAAGCTGAAATTAACTCACGCACACACTGCAAAAAATGCTTTTTTACTTAGTATTTTTGTCTTGTTTCCAGTCCAAATATCAAACATTTCTTAAATCAACTCACTTAATTTTGATTTATTCCCCCGGAAAACAGGACATGATATCTTATGTCATTTCACTCATCTAGTAAATGCTTCTTGATTTAAGAATTTTTAGATATTTGGACTGGAAACAACACAGAAATACTAAGTAAAAAAGCATGTTTTGTTTCAGCTCCAGTCTCTGATGAAAACACGGCCTCAGCTCCTGTTTCGCGATGCACTAGGTTAAAGGGTTAGTTCACCCAAAAATTTTAATTCTGTCATTAATAACTCTCCCTCATGTCGTTCCAAACCCGTAAGACCTTCGGAACACAAATTAAGATATTTTTGATGAAATCCGATGGCTCAGAGGCGGCTCCATTTATATGGAGCTATTAATGTGTCTTTATTACATGTGAGAAAATAAATGATCTGAGAGAAAGAAAAAAGTTTGAGAGAAAAAGTTATCACACTGATAGCAAAAAAGCATTTCATGAGAGAAAAAAGAATATTTGAGAGAAAAAGTTTTCATATCAATAGCAAAAAATTATATTTGAGACTAAAAAAAGTTTTGAGAGAAAGTATTTTCTCATAGAACATAAAAAATATAAATTTGAAATTTTTTAAATTATTTCTGAGAAAAAAAATCTCTCTCAAAATACTTTGAAAAAAAATCTTAAATATATATTTTTTTCTATCAGTGTGAAATAATTTTCTCTCTAAAAAAAGTGTTTCTCTCAAACCGCTTTTCTTTGCATGCAATTTTTTGCTCTCGTGTCAGGATTTTACTTTCGCTTTGAAAATTGTGTCATGGGCGGGACCACGTTCTTTTTTTCCTATTGGAACGTTCCTATTGGCCAGTCGGGTGAGCATCGTCTTGTCTTGGGAGTCGAACTGAATCATTACACCAAAGAATTTTTGGGTGAACGAACCCTTCAAAGCTGAAACTAACTCATGCATGAAGAGCATCATCATCCTGATCTGTGAACGCGTTTAATTTTTGGTCATTACGTTATGCTTTTGTAATTTTATTAGTTAAAAAAAAAAAAATTTGCTGTTTAAGTTTATTATTTTTTAGCGCTGGGCAACGATTAATTGCATCCTAAATAAAAGTTTGTGTTTACATAATATATGTGCGTGTAGTAGTGTGTATAATTATTTTGTATATATAAATACACACACATGCATGCATATATTTAAGAACAATTTGTCATTTATATATAAAAATTATATTTTATAATATAAATTATACATATATACATGCAAATATTTCTTAAATATATACATGCATGTGTGTGTATATATAGAAAATAATTATACACACTACACACACATATATTATGTAAACACAAACTTTTATTTTGGATGCGATTAATCGTTGCCCAGCACTATTATTTTTAATTATTTTAGTTTAGATTTTAAACTGCACGATTATGATCTTGAAAGTGAAGTTACGCTATTAAGTTACGCTTCTCCTCTATTGTTCCGTATATCCGAGTGAAACGCTTCAGGAACAAGAACACATGTGGGCGGGGCTTGACTGTGTCTGTGAGGAATTGATTGGATGGTTGTGGTTTGCTATTGGCTGATCTCGTGTGAGTGACAGGTTATAGCCCCGCCCACATCATCAGAGAAGAGAAGAGATGCTGCAAGAGGAACTGATTCTGATTCAACATTATTAACACAATAATGATTAGCACTGCAATATTCCATAAAAAACAAAGAGTTGTCAATTCCCAGACAGCAACACAGTGTCGGCCGCATCTGGGCCGTGTTGAATCCGCGTGTTCCAGATGTGGGCCGTATCTGGGCCGTGTTGAATCCTCATGTTCCAGATGTGGGCCGTATCTGGGCCGTGTTGAATCCTCATGTTCCAGATGTGGGCCGGATCTGGGCCGTGTTGAATCCGCGTGTTCCAGATGTGGGCCGGATCTGGGCCGTGTTGAATCCTCTTGTTCCAGATGTGGGCCGGATCTGGGCCGTGTTGAATCCTCATGTTCCAGATGTGGGCCGGATCTGGGCCGTGTTGAATCCGCGTGTTCCAGATGTGGGCCGGATCTGGGCCGTGTTGAATCCTCATGTTCCAGATGTGGGCCGGATCTGGGCCGTGTTGAATCCGCGTGTTCCAGATGTGGGCCGGATCTGGGCCGTGTTGAATCCGCGTGTTCCAGATGTGGGCCGGATCTGGGCCGTGTTGAATCCTCTTGTTCCAGATGTGGGCCGGATCTGGGCCGTGTTGAATCCTCGTGTTCCAGATGTGGGCCGGATCTGGGCCGTGTTGAATCCGCGTGTTCCAGATGTGGGCCGGATCTGGGCCGTGTTGAATCCGCATGTTCCAGATGTGGGCCGGATCTGGGCCGTGTTGAATCCGCGTGTTCCAGATGTGGGCCGGATCTGGGCCGTGTTGAATCCGCGTGTTCCAGATGTGGGCCGGATCTGGGCCGTGTTGAATCCTCTTGTTCCAGATGTGGGCCGGATCTGGGCCGTGTTGAATCCGCATGTTCCAGATGTGGGCCGTATCTGGGCCGTGTTGAATCTGCGTGTTCCAGATGTGGGCCGGATCTGGGCCGTGTTAAATCCGGGTGTTCCAGATGTGGGCCGGATCTGGGCCGTGTTGAATCCGCATGTTCCAGATGTGGGCCGTATCTGGGCCGTGTTGAATCCTCATGTTCCAGATGTGGGCCGGATCTGGGCCGTGTTGAATCCGCATGTTCCAGATGTGGGCCGGATCTGGGCCGTGTTGAATCCGCGTGTTCCAGATGTGGACCGGATCTGGGCCGTGTTGAATCCGCGTGTTCCAGATGTGGGCCGGATCTGGGCTGTGTTGAATCTGCGTGTTCCAGATGTGGGCCGGATCTGGGCCGTGTTGAATCCGCATGTTCCAGATGTGGGCCGGATCTGGGCCGTGTTGAATCCGCATGTTCCAGACGTGGGCCGGATCTGGGCTGTGTTGAATCCGCGTGTTCCAGATGTGGGCCGGATCTGGGCCGTGTTGAATCCGCGTGTTCCAGATGTGGGCCGGATCTGGGCCGTGTTGAATCTGCGTGTTCCAGATGTGGGCCGGATCTGGGCCGTGTTGAATCCGCGTGTTCCAGATGTGGGCCGGATCTGGGCCGTGTTGAATCCGCGTGTTCCAGATGTGGGCCGGATCTGGGCCGTGTTGAATCCGCGTGTTCCAGATGTGGGCCGTATCTGGGCCGTGTTGAATCCGCGTGTTCCAGATGTGGGCCGGATCTGGGCCGTGTCGAATCCGCGTGTTCCAGATGTGGGCCGGATCTGGGCCGTGTTGAATCCGCGTGTTCCAGATGTGGGCCGTATCTGGGCCGTGTTGAATCCGCGTGTTCCAGATGTGGGCCGTATCTGGGCCGTGTTGAATCCGCGTGTTCCAGATGTGGGCCGTATCTGGGCCGTGTTGAATCCGCATGTTCCAGATGTGGGCCGTATCTGGGCCGTGTTGAATCCGCGTGTTCCAGATGTGGGCCGTATCTGGGCCGTGTTGAATCCGCGTGTTCCAGATGTGGGCCGTATCTGGGCCGTGTTGAATCCGCATGTTCCAGATGTGGGCCGGATCTGGGCCGTGTTGAATCCTCATGTTCCAGATGTGGGCCGGATCTGGGCCGTGTTGAATCCGCGTGTTTCAGATGTGGGCCGGATCTGGGCCGTCTTGAATCCTCATGTTCCAGATGTGGGCCGGATCTGGGCCGTGTTGAATCCGCGTGTTCCAGATGTGGGCCGTATCTGGGCCGTGTTGAATCCGCGTGTTCCAGATGTGGGCCGTATCTGGGCCGTGTTGAATCCGCGTGTTCCAGATGTGGGCCGTATCTGGGCCGTGTTGAATCCGCATGTTCCAGATGTGGGCCGTATCTGGGCCGTGTTGAATCCGCGTGTTCCAGATGTGGGCCGTATCTGGGCCGTGTTGAATCCGCGTGTTCCAGATGTGGGCCGTATCTGGGCCGTGTTGAATCCGCATGTTCCAGATGTGGGCCGGATCTGGGCCGTGTTGAATCCTCATGTTCCAGATGTGGGCCGGATCTGGGCCGTGTTGAATCCGCGTGTTTCAGATGTGGGCCGGATCTGGGCCGTGTTGAATCCGCGTGTTCCAGATGTGGGCCGTATCTGGGCCGTGTTGAATCCGCGTGTTCCAGATGTGGGCCGGATCTGGGCCGTGTTGAATCCGCGTGTTCCAGATGTGGGCCGACACTATCTTGCTGTCTAGGTTTTGAATATAATGGTGAGTTTCTCGTGGATCTTGTGTTTGTAACAGGGTGTTGAACCCGAGGAGTTTCCACTTCTTCTGCAGTCGCTCAAAACTGATTCCCCCATCAAAGATCTCTACTGCAACCCCAACAAGAAGCTCTACAGAGGTAAAGTCTCTCTCACACACACGCTTCTGCTTTCGTCTGAGTCTGTTCTGATCGCTCGCTGCTCACACAGATTTGGTGGATCACTCTCTGGGAACACACACCTTCCAGCTGGCCAAGAAACTGGTGGATAAAGTCATTTCTGTCAGGTGTGTTGAAGCTCGTTAGCTGAACATGCGTACGCCACTTCCCACACACATGTTCTGATTTATAAAAACTTGTTTCTGTTTGAATTAAGATTATTTTTACCCCATTGGCAGATAATCTTGCTTTTTTTAAGCAACAACATTTTGATTAATTCCCCTGGAAAATAAGACATAAAATCTAGTAAATGCATCTTGATTTAAGAATTTTTAGATATTTGGATAGTAAGAAAAGCATTTTTGCAGTGCATTAAAAATATAAAGCAGTTAACCCAACGCACGCTTCTCTGCGCAGGGAGTCGGACGCGCTGGTGGCCATGCTGAGGTTCCAGGAGTTCGAGCGCGCCACCGTCGACACCGAAGGAGCCTTGGGTCTGGCCGCCATCTTAGCGGGACACCTGCCAGAACTCAAGGGCAAAAGGTGTAAAAGCCCCTCACTCACTTCATTAGCATCATTAGCTTCATTAGCATCATTAGCATCATTAGCTTCATTAGCATCATTAGCTTCATTAGCATCATTAGCTTCATTAGCATCATTAGCTTCATTAGCATCCTAACCGGGTCACTCGTGGTGAAAAGCAGAAGCCAGGTAGCGGAGCGCTTCATCAGCTGGTGGACTGAACTTAAGAGATCTATTGAACAGAATCTCCTTCAGAAAACAAACACGAGCTGCACTTGATCGACACGTTATATTAATGCAATTATCATCCGTCTATGCTTATATTACTAGAATACACTGTTTATGTGAATTACTATTGATAAATTAAATGGTAGCTCTTTAACAACAAGGTCTAATTTTTTAACTAATTTAATGCATTTACTGGAGAGGCAAGATCGTCTTGTTTACTGAAATATCAGCCAATGGAGTCAGAAAAAGAATCCTGATTTGCCTTTGAGTTAAGAGTATTTTTCTGACTCCATTGGCTGATATTTCACTTAATTTTGATGCAGTGTTCATAAAACAAGACTTAATATCTTCAGTCATTTTGCTTCTTCTCCAGTAAATGACTCTGAGAGATTAACATGCAAAACCCCTGATAAAGCTTCAAGGGGAAGTAGTTTAACTGTGGAGTTCTGTGTGTGTGTGTGTGTGTGTAGGGTGGCGGTGGTGGTGAGCAGTGCAAACATGGAGCTGGACCTGGTTCTGCAGTGTGTGGAGCGAGCGCTGGTTCTGGACGACAGAGTCTTTCGCTTCGCGGTTCAGCTGACGGACTGGCCAGGAGACATGACCAAACTACTGGACCTGCTGACCCGAGAGGACGTGCGGTGAGCACACACACACACACACACACACACACACACACACACACACACACACACACACACACACACACACACACACACACAGACACACACATGACCAAACTACTGGACCTGCTGACCCGAGAGGACGTGCGGTGAGCACACACACACACACACACACACACACATGACCAAACTACTGGACCTGCTGACCCGAGAGGACGTGCGGTGAGCACACACACACACACACACACACACACACACATGACCAAACTACTGGACCTGCTGTCCCGAGAGGACGTGCGGTGATCACACACACACACACACACACACACACATGACCAAACTACTGGACCTGCTGACCCGAGAGGACGTGCGTTGAGCACACACACACACACACACACACACACACACGACCAAACTACTGGACCTGCTGTCCCGAGAGGACGTGCGGTGATCACACACACACACACACACACACACACACACACATGACCAAACTACTGGACCTGCTGACTCGAGAGGACGTGCGGTGAGCACACACACACACACACACACACACACACACATGACCAAACTACTGGACCTGCTGACCCGAGAGGACGTGCGGTGAGCACACACACACACACACACACACACACACACACACACACGACCAAACTACTGGACCTGCTGACCCGAGAGGACGTGCGGTGAGCACACACACACACACACACACACACACACACACACACACACACACACATGACCAAACTACTGGACCTGCTGACCCGAGAGGACGTGCGGTGAGCACACACACACACACACACGACCAAACTACTGGACCTGCTGACCCGAGAGGACGTGCGGTGAGCACACACACACACACACACACACACACACACACACACACACATGACCAAACTACTGGACCTGCTGACCCGAGAGGACGTGCGGTGAGCACACACACACACACACACACACACACACACACACACACACGACCAAACTACTGGACCTGCTGACCCGAGAGGACGTGCGGTGAGCACACACACAAACACACACACACACACACACACACGACCAAACTACTGGACCTGCTGACCCGAGAGGACGTGCGGTGAGCACACACACACACACACACACACACACACATGACCAAACTACTGGACCTGCTGACCCGAGAGGACGTGCGGTGAGCACACACACACACACACACACACACGACCAAACTACTGGACCTGCTGACCCGAGAGGACGTGCGGTGAGCACACACACACACACACACACACACACACACACACGACCAAACTACTGGACCTGCTGACCCGAGAGGACGTGCGGTGAGCACACACACACACACACACACACACACACACACACATGACCAAACTACTGGACCTGCTGACCCGAGAGGACGTGCGGTGAGCACACACACACACACACACGACCAAACTACTGGACCTGCTGACCCGAGAGGACGTGCGGTGAGCACACACACACACACACACACACACACACACACACATGACCAAACTACTGGACCTGCTGACCCGAGAGGACGTGCGGTGAGCACACACACACACACACACACACACACACACACACACACACACACGACCAAACTACTGGACCTGCTGACCCGAGAGGACGTGCGGTGAGCACACACACAAACACACACACACACACACACACACGACCAAACTACTGGACCTGCTGACCCGAGAGGACGTGCGGTGAGCACACACACACACACACCCACACACACACATGACCAAACTACTGGACCTGCTGACCCGAGAGGACGTGCGGTGAGCACACACACACACACACACACACACGACCAAACTACTGGACCTGCTGACCCGAGAGGACGTGCGGTGAGCACACACACACACACACACACACACACATGACCAAACTACTGGACTTGCTGACCCGAGAGGACGTGCGGTGAGCACACACACACACACACACACACACACACACACGACCAAACTACTGGACCTGCTGACCCGAGAGGACGTGCGGTGAGCACACACACACACACACACACACACACATGACCAAACTACTGGACCTGCTGACCCGAGAGGACGTGCGGTGAGCACACACACACACACACACACACACATGACCAAACTACTGGACCTGCTGACCCGAGAGGACGTGCGGTGAGCACACACACACACACACACACACACACACACATGACCAAACTACTGGACCTGCTGACCCGAGAGGACGTGCGGTGAGCACACACACACACACACACACACACACACACACACACACACACACACACACACACACACACACACACACACACACACACACACACATGACCAAACTACTGGACCTGCTGACCCGAGAGGACGTGCGGTGAGCACACACACACACACACACACACACACACACGACCAAACTACTGGACCTGCTGACCCGAGAGGACGTGCGGTGAGCACACACACACACACACACACACACACACACATGACCAAACTACTGGACCTGCTGACCCGAGAGGACGTGCGGTGAACACACACACACACACACACACACACACACATGACCAAACTACTGGACCTGCTGACCCGAGAGGACGTGCGGTGAGCACACACACACACACACACACACACACACACATGACCAAACTACTGGACCTGCTGACCCGAGAGGACGTGCGGTGAGCACACACACACACACACATGACCAAACTACTGGACCTGCTGAC